ATGTACATAAAATTAATAATAAAAAGAGTGCTTTCTTTTCTTCCAGAGGACCCTGGTTTAGTTCCCAGTACCCAGATTGGGCAGCTTACAAACTATCACTCTAGCTCCAGAGGATCTAATACCCTCTGCTGGGAGACATTCTTACATGTCATATGCCTCCCAACACATAATTAAAAATAAATAATTTAGCCGGGCGGTGGTGGCGCACGCCTTTAATCCCAGCACTTGGGAGGCAGAGGCAGGCGGATCTCTGTGAGTTCGTGGCCAGCCTGGTCTACAAAGGGAGTTCCAGGACAGGCTCCAAAGCTACAGAGAAACCCTGTCTCGAAAAAACCAAAATAAATAAATAAATAAATTTAGATTTATTTATTTATTTTATTTTTATTTTTTTGAGACAGGGTTTCTCTGTAGCTTTGGTGCCCATCCCGGAACTAGCTCTTGTAGACCAGGCTGGCCTCGAACTCCCAGAGAGAGGGAGAGGGAGAGGGAGAGGGAGAGAGAGAGAGAGAGAGAGAGAGAGAATATGTAGGCACGATTGCCATGGCGCGTGTGTAGAAGTCAAAGGACAACTTTCAGGAGTCAGTTCTTTTCCTCCACCATGTGGGTCAGGTCATTACTCACTGAGCCATGCATATGGTTTCTTGATTTTTTTTTCTTCTTAAAAAAATTACTTCCCATATATGGATGTTTTGCCTGTGTGTCTGTACATCTTTATGCTTGGTGCTGAAGGAGGCCAGAAGAGGGTATTGTGTCCCTTGGGACTAGAGTTACAGACAGTTGTGAGCTGCCATGTGGGTGCTGGAACTGGAATTCAGGTCTTCTACAGGTCTGAAACATTCTCTTAACTAATACTGAGCCATCTCTCCAGCTCCTCTTTTTTTATTTTATTTGTTTGTTTGAGAAAGTCTTACACTGTAGCCCAGGCCCCTGGAACTCACTGTGTAAACCATGCTGGTCTTGAACTCATCAGTTTCCTGAGTGCTGGTATTACAGAGTGAACTAGTGCTGTCTAGGTTTCTGAAAGAGGTAGAAAAACCTTGCTGGAAGAGAAAGGGCCTTTGTAGAGTCCTGAGTGTGGCTGTACGGAAACAGAGGGCCTGAGGTGAGGCGGCTCAGGCTCCTATTTAGAACTAAGATTCCAGTATATGTTTCCCAGCCACCAGGTCTTTCAGCCTCTATGTCTCCAGTCTGTCATTCAATTAACTAACGGTTTCTTTAGTCCCATTATACATTGTAAGGCTCCCGCTCAGTTTTTTTTTTAAGAAAATAATAGGTTGTTCTGTTCTCAGTGGTTTAATATTTTTAATAGCTTTGCCAATTAAAAAACGTTTCCAACTGTTTATTATGAAATTCACAAGTGTACAGAATGAAAGGGTAATGGGATAAACACCCAGTGCCCTCCACCTTGAGCCACACTTGGCATTTCCTCCTCTCTGCTTTATCTTCTTTGTATATGGACCATGCATGTGTGTGTTGTGTATTTGTGTGCGATGTGTCTGTACATGGTGTGTGTGGGTATGCTCACATGTGCATATGCGTGTGTGCGTGCATGAGTGCATGTGAGTGGAAGCCAGACGAATATGTCTGTGTTCTGATCCATCACTCTCTGCCTTACTCCTCTGAGACAGAGTTTCACTGAGTCTGGAGCAAGGGTAGCTGCCAACAAAGCCCAGTCCCCCCTGCCGTGCTGGGTGACAGGAGTGCAGCCACATGGAGCTCTAAGAAGGTTGTTTTTTACTGTTATTATTATTTTTATTTTATGTGCATGGATATTTTTCCTGGATGGTGTGTACCATGTAAGCGCCTGGTATCTGTGGAGGCCAGAAGAAGGTGTTGGAACCAGTGAAATTAGAGGTATAGATGGTTGTGAGCTGCCATGAGGGTGCTGAGAACTGAGCCCATGTCCTCTGCAAGAGCAGCAAGTCCTCTTAACCACTGAGCCATCTCTCCAAACCACATATCTGGCCTTTTTTAAAAAAATTTATTTATTTATTTATTTATTTATTTTATGTTTTTTGGTGCTGGCTGGGATCCAGTTCAAGTTCAGGTCCTCGTGCAGAAAATGCTCCTTTCTGCTGAGCTGTCTTCCAACTCCCTGTGTGTATTTATTTGGTCTGAATTATTTGAAGGTAAATTGAAGCTGTTATGACTTTATTCTGGAAAATTGCAGAATTCGTGCAGATGCTCTCACAGTCTGTCACACATCTCCCAAGTATTGTATTATAGGAGCTGGGCATGGTGGCTCCCATCTGTCTTTGGCTCCTGTCTATAATCCCTTCGTTCCCTTGTGATGATTGTATTTGTAAACTTTGCCACTGCAACCTAAAAAGTCATAGAGAAGCCAGGAAGTAGTAGGACACACCTTTAATCTCAGCACTGGGGAGGCAGAGGCAGGCGGATCAAGGCCAACCTAGTCTACAAGAACTAGTTCCAGGACAGCCAGGGCTGTTACACATAGAAACCTTGTCTCGTAGAAAAAGAAAAGTCCCAGAGAAAATCTAATGATCTAAGAAAGTTCATGGTAGGTAGGTAGATTAAGGGGAAGCTGTACATTTTAGCCTGTAGACAGGAAAGTCGAGATAGGTAAGTAAAAATGGCAGCCAAGGAACTTCCTTGGTGCCTCCTAAGTTTTCACAAGTGTCCTCTGCAGAATGTGCTTTGATTCCTCTGTTTTGCCAATGAGTGCTGAAGTAAGTAACTTGTGACTTGCAGAGTCACAGCTCTTTGGTAGCAGTATTGAGATTGAGTCCAGAGTACCTGACCACACCTGCCCGCTCAGCCCCCTTGCTGCTTGTTGGAGGGTATTCTCTGGCCTTTAAATCAATCACATAGAAAACAGCACTCCCTCAAAAACCCAACCCAACCCAAACCAAACCATGTATCATTCATAGTCTCTTTTCTTTTCTTTTCTTTTCTTTCTTTCTTTCTTTCTTTCTTTCTTTCTTTTGAGAAAGGGTTTCTCTGTGTAGTTCTGACTTTATTGGAACTTGCTCTATAGACCAGGTGGGCCTCAAACTCAGAAATCTGCCTGCTTTTGCCTCCCGGGTGCTGGAATTAGAGGTGTGTGCCACCATGCCTGGCTTATTTCCTAGTTTCAGTGGAAATAGATTTGGGAACAGCATGGTCGGGGATGCCTCAAGGCTCCCTGGGATTGCTCTGTCTTTTTGGTTAAGATATATATAAAATATTATATATAAATATATGCATATTATTGTATATATTTTTAAAACTTTAATATTTATTTTAAATTTATTTATTTTATATCTATGGGTATTTTCTTTGCATGTCTGTCTGCATACTAGAAAAGGGCATTAGATCCTATGGGACTACAGTTATAGATGGTTGTGAACCACCATGTGGATGCTGGGAATTAAAACCAGGGTCTCTGGAAGAGCGAACAACCAATGCTCTTTATCACTGAGCCATCGCCCCAGCCCCTGTAATTTTATTTTTAATGTATATTTTCATGTCCATGTGTATTTACCTATATATATATATGTGTGTACATATATGCATATGTATGTGTGTATGTATGTATGTTTACCACATGCATATAGTGTCTGCAGAGTCCATAAGAGGGAGTCACATCCCCTGAAACTGGAGTTACAGACGGTTATGAGCTACCATGTGGTTGCTGGGACCTGAACCCAGGTCCACTGCAAGAGCAGCCAGTGCTTCCAACCTCTGAGGCATCTCTCTAGTCCCATGTTGGTTTGTTTTTTCTTTAAAAATTTTGTGTGTATGTTTGTGTCTGTATGGGTATATGTTGCCCATAGAGTCCAGAAGTGGGTGTCAGACTCCCTGGAGCTGGAGCTAAAAGTGGTTGTGAGCTGACAGATGTGAGTGATAGGAATAGAAGTCAGGTTCTGTACATGAGTAGTACATGCTCTTAGCTGCTGAACCATCTCTCCAGTCCTTCTGTTACGTTCTTAAAGGAGCTGGGTCTGTCTTGGGTTGGAAGCTGCCTTTCATTTTTCTCCCCATTGGGGAGAGGACCGATCCCCAGAAAATATTCAGATTTACTTTAGTGCTCATGGAAACTCTTTATCCATAGACTATCTTGAGCTAGAGCAATGGTTCTCAGTCTGTGGGTCTCAATCCCTTTGGGGGTGAACAACTTTCTCACAAGGGTCGCCTAAGACCATTGGAAAATACAGATATTTATATTATCATTCCTAACAGTAGCAAAATTATAGCTATGGAGTAGCAACAAACATAATTTTATGGTTGGGAGTCACCACAGCATGAAGAACTATACTAAAGGGTCACAACATTAGGAGGGTTGAGAGCCACTGCTCTGGAGACAGGAATGATCGCTTATCACAGTGTAACCCCAGGTAACACAGGAGATGAAGTGCTGGGTTGGGTGCAGGGCAGCCGAGGAGGAAGAATCTAGCATGAGGCTATTTCTTCTAATACCTGTGGACATCTGCCTGCTGGTTCTCATTCTGTAACTACTGAACGACCTGGAGATGGAGCCTCCAGCTGCTGACTGGACCAAACTGAAGAGAGCTAAAGTGTTGGTTGTAGATGGATATTGCCTGATTGGAAGCTGTTGAGTGTGCCCTGACTCAGGGCAGGTAGGGCTGGGGTATTTGCAGGCCTGTTTCTTGTTTTGTCCTTCCTATGCGTTAGTAGGGGTATAGCTTGCCCCCAGGTTTTTTCTGTGCCCCATCAGTAGCCTTGCTCTCTGCATACTAGTTTGTAAGCAAGCACACAATATAAAGCAAGCACACAATACTATAAAGATGTCGTAGCTAATGTGGGAGGGATATAAAGGGTCTCGGGAAACAGTGTGGGTTTCCACCTGCTCAGCATGAAGTTCATTACCATTCAGCATGTTCTGCCCCACTCTTCCTCTCATGCCACAAGACACATTGGAAAGGGCGGGAAAGCTCTGCCAGGGAAGCCAGAGTAGGTGGAATGGAGGCCTCTAAAGTAAAGAATTCTAATTTGTGCATTTGACTTAGTCTGTCCATGTTGCATTTTGTATCAAACAGTGGAGAACACGCAACTGACCCTGAACCTGCAGACGGAGAACAAAGGCAGCGTTGTCTCAGGAGGAGAGCTGACAATTTCCCTGGATGGGCCGACTGTTGATCTGGGAAGCGTGCCTAATGGCAGTGCAGTGACAGACGGTGAGTGGTGCCCTGCGCCCAGGCTGTGCCAACACAGGGGTGGGTGGACAGAGACTCAGAGCTTGGTTAGAATACTATTTAGCAGCCCTGACTCAGAGCTAGCTCTATCTCTTCTTATTCTCCCAGATCAAAACATGACTTGATTTTCAAGGACCAAAATAAGTGTCATGTCTCTGTGTGTGATTGTTTGGATCGAAGGCAAAAAAAGCATCTTTTCATCCCATATGGCCTTGGAAATAAAACCTCTTCAGTAGATATGATTCTAGTTAAATCCTCTGGGGAGCTTGAATGTGTTCCTATAAGATGGTGTTAGTTGGGGAGGACTGTGTATTCTTGTGGAGACACATGCAGCCAAAAAGGCTTAAGAAGGGGATAGTGAGTGTCCATCCCCCGCCTCCTGCCCTGAGTGTGGAGTGCTGGTAGTTTGTTCCATTTGATCTAGTCTGAAATTAGTCACTTCTGGATCTAGCAGGAAATTATTTCATGGAATCTAAAGTCTGAAGTGGGTTGTTTCTCTCTCCTTTTTCTCATTAAATGTTTTGTTAGGTATGATGTAAGATGGAACTTCTCAGGCCGAGCACACTCTCTATAGTTTCAGGGTGAAGTGTGAATTCCCAATTCAAAGGCAGGGTTGGATCTCAGTGGTTGAGAAGAACTCTGCTCTGGGGCTGGAGAGATGGCTCCATGGGGTCGAGCATTGGCTGCTCCTGCTGAGGACCTGGATGTTCCCAGCACCCACATGGTAGCTCATAATCATCTACAACTCTAGTTCCATGGAATCTGATACTTTCTTCTGACCTCCACCACATCAGGCATACACATGGCACACAGACATACATGCAGTCAAAATAAATAAACAGACAGATAAATCTTACGCACCCCCTTGCAAAAAAAAAAAAAAAAGGGCTGAGCTTTGCTTGAGGTATTTTTGGTGTGTCTTTTTGTTTGTTTGTTTTGGGGCATCATTGTTTTGTGTACTTTAACATGGATAAGCATACATCTCTCATTGATTCAATTCAGTTGTATATAATTGAATACCTGGTATGTACTAGGTCTTAGGTGGTAGCCAAATGGCAGTGTGCAAAATTCACAACTCTCCTCGAAGTTTCTAATCTACTTGGCAGTGGGGAGGGAGAGTTAGGCATCAAGCGAGTAAGGACAGAAATAGCCACTTAAGTGTCACTGTGACAAGACCTCTGAGAGAGAGGGCGGGATGGTCTGAGATTCCTGTAATCGGAGGGGCCTCATCCAAACTGGAGAAGTGTTCTCAGGAAGTTGGAACCTGGACTGTGAGTTCAGGAGTGGAGAAGGGAACGGGTGGATCTGTGGTGAAAACAGAGGGGTTGGTGTGGCTGGATTCTGGGGAGCGGCAAGGAGGGTAGTAGAGTTTAGGATGGAGAGGTGGGTCTGCCTCAGAGTATGCCACCACAGAGACCATGATCAGGATGAACGTTGCCCTAAGAAACAGATGGTTGCTCAAGGGCATTGTATTTCCCTCCTCTCTGTCTTCACTGTGTCACTATGTGACCCTGGCTATCGTGAAACTGCTTGTTGTAGACCAGACTAGCCTTGAATTCATAGAGATCCACCATCCTCTGCTTCCCACTGCTGGGATTAAATGTGTGTGCCACCATGCCTGGCTTCTGCTGGCTTTGTTCATTTGTCTGAAACAAGGTCTCATTATGTAGCCCTAGAACTCACTATGTAGACCAGACTGGCCTTGAACTCACAGAGATCTGCCTGTCCATCTGACTTCTTAAAAAACATTTTGTTAGCCGGGCAGTGGTGGCGCACGCCTTTAATCCCAGCACTTGGGAGGCAGAGGCAGGCGGATCTCTGTGAGTTCGAGACCAGCCTGGTCTACAAGAGCTAGTTCCAGGACAGGCTCCAAAACCACAGAGAAACCCTGTCTCGAAAAACCAAAAAAAAAAAAAAAAAAGTTAAAAAAAAATTAGCAGGACTGGAGAGATGGCTCAGCCGTTAAGAGCACAGGCTGCTCTTCCAGCTCATTACTGTCTGTAACTCCAGTTCCAGGAGATTTGACACCTTCACACCAATGCACATAAAATAAAGTTTAAAAAAGTTATCATGTAGTACAAATGTATGGAGGGCAGAAGACAGCTTATGGCAACTGACTCTCCCTGAGGGATCTGGGCAGTGGACCCCGGTCGTTAGGCTTGGTGACAGGTGCTCTAATTCTGGCCAAACTATCGTTCTGGTGCTGGCTATTTTTTTGTTTTCTTCATTCATACCCAGTGTTGGTTGCATAAGGCTGTTTTCATGAACATGTGTAATGTTGTTTGTGCATATTCTATCCCCATGTTCCTTTACCTGCTTTTTGTCATTTTCTAGTTAGTTCTCTTTGTTCCCAGGGTTTCACTTCTACCTTAATGTCACATATATGCTTAATCTTTAAAGATGTTTTTTGTGGCGTATATATGTGTATTCCACATGTGTGTAGGTGTCCCCAGTGTCCAGAAGGAGGGACTCTGAGCTTGAATTACAGACAACTGTGAGTCATTTGATGTGGGTGCTGGGAATTGAACTCTTGTCCTCTGGGAGCAGCAATTGTTCTTAACCACTGAACCATCTTGACATTTCCATATATACATAATTTTTTGTTTGTTTTGGGGATAAGAGCTTACTGTATAGCTCAGACCGGCCTTGAACTCACTGTCACCCAAACTGCCTATTATGATACCCTGTCTCCTCAGCTAGCTGTTGGAGAACTTCTTAGGTGAAGAGTGACATGATCTACTTTGGATTTACAAGATCTGTTTTCATTGTGGAAAATGTGTGCTTACTTAGCCTTATCTTTGAGAGGCTGGAGTTCATCTGGTGATTAAGACAGGCTACATGTTGGTGTCTGGGATGTTCTTGAATATATTGGAGAAGAGACATTGCTTCCTAGGTTTGAGTCCCATCTGTGTGATCTCACATGATTGTCTCTACTTACAAGGAGTGACGTGTAGGGTGGCTATAGCTGCATAGATGTCCCTATCCCATCATGGTGGGTGACTCCTAAAATCCAGAGCAAGTTCTCTGCCTGGTGACTAACTCTTAAACAAAGGCTGAGATTCTCAACATTTCTGTCTTTTCTTGTGATTGATTTCTTCTCCAGGAGCACAACCACCTTCGAGAGAATCCAGCGGGACTGCTATAGCTCCAGACACCCGGCACCAGCCACCCAGTACAAACTGCTTTGGTGGCAGGTCCCGGTAAGTATTCCTTGTTGGTGAGATGGCCCTGGGAAGGTACTTGAAGTTATGGAAAACACACTGGCAGTGGCAAAGGACCACACCATTAGAAATTTCTTATCATTGATTCAGTCTCTTAAGGAGTTCTTGAGGGAGCAGTGCTCCACATGCTTAGAAAGAGTCTGCAGTACACTGACAAAGACCGGGGCTGGCTGGGTAGGCATTTAGGTAAGAGAGGACCTGTTGAATAGACCCTGACCTTCTCTTATCCATTAGGGCTGTAGCAGTCATGATGCATGGAGAACATGGTTTTTTGGATGTAGAATTTTCTGACTGCATTTCTCTTTTGGGGGGTGGCTGATGGTTCTCATTCCCTGGTTGACTAAACCTTCTATGCTGAGGGTCTGAGCTTATTTACACTTGTTATGCCTATTGTAGATGATGTGATTCTGTTTACTATTTTTCTCTTAGACCTGTATTTGTCCTCTAGACTCATTTCCATGAAAACTAAATTTCTAGGCAAGAGAATACTTTGAAATGTACTGGATAGATGATAGAGGAGGAGGAGGAGGATGTGCTTAGTGTTTATTACATTGTACAAAATCCCCAGGCAGTTTCAGGAAGAGAATCATATGAATATTTGTGACTATTATCTTCTTACAGTGGGCAAATTTCTGTTAGAAATCTTCCTATGCAGATCCCAGCGGGTACAGAATAATGCTTTTGGGAAATAGAGTTGTGTTCTAGTCAGTGTCCACAGCATCTGACAGATTCCCTTGAGGGCAGAGGTCATCTTCTCAATTGCTTTGTTTGTGGCTTTATGAGGTCCAGGTGAGCAGAGCTTGTTGTCAGCAAGGGAGAGTGGATGTTTGGCCATCTGTCCCTGAGACCCTAGTTTCACTAGATGCAGAGATGATGCTTTTCTGTTCTCATTGCTCCTAGTCTGTGTAAGTGTCATCTCATTGGAAGACCAGTCACCTTTTCTGTGACTTGCTGTGCTAGATGGCTTGTGTGATGTAATACATAGTTATGTCTTACAGGATTAGGACCTGTAATATGTTTTGGCAAGTACTGTATCAACAAAAGAATGGTCCAGAACTGGAGGGAACAGGATCTCTTCAGTGGTGACTAGATTGAGCAGGGACACCTCAGCATTTCTTCTCCCTTCCACAGCTGGTTTCTTTACTGTGGTGTAGGATATCCTTCTGTATTTGTGTTGCTTTCATTGGTTGAATAAAGAAACTGCCTTGGCCTTTTGATAGGGAAGAGCTTAGGTAGGCGTGGAAAAGAGAACTGAATTCTGGGAGGAAGAAGGCAGTGTGGCAGATGCCATGGTTCTCCTGTCTGAGACGGATGCTGTTTAGCTGTTTAGATTTATGCTGGTAAGCCACAGTCAAGTGGCAATACACATTAATGGAGATGGGTTAAATCAAGATGTGAGAGTTAGCCAATAAGAGGCTAGAGATAACGGGCCAGATGGTAATTTAATTACTACAATTTCTGTGTGGTTATTTCAGGGGTTAAGCTAGCCAGATGGTGGAACGCAGCCCACTCCTTCTGCAACACTGTAGTGCTTGGTAACTACTTCCTTGTTTTTTGTTTGTTTGTTTGTTTTTTTTAAGATAGACGTGGAAACTTCGGGTCAGACACATTGACACCACTTAATTTGAGGCTTAAAGGATGAGTCAATCAAGCATGTGGACCTGAGTTCACCCCCAGCACCCTCCTAAAAATTCTGAGCCTGGCATTAGTTCTAATCCTAGTAGTGATGGCAGTAGTGGAGGGCAAACCGCAGCAGGAGGTCTCAGGCTTGCTGACCAGCCAGCCTTGCCCACCTGCGGAGCATCAGGCCAGTGGAAGACCCTGTTTTTTGTTTTTTGGGTTTTTTTTTTTTTTTTTTTTTTTTTTTTTTTGGATTTTTCAAGACAGGGTTTCTCCGTAGCTTTTTGGTTCCTGTCCTGGAACTAGCTCTTGTAGACCAGGCTGGCCTCGAACTCACAGAGATCTGCCTGCCTCTGCCTCCCGAGTGCTGGGATTAAAGGCGTGCGCCACCAACACCCTGCCGAAGACCCTGTTTTAAAGGAGGTAGAAAGCTTTCCAGGAGAAGACATGGGAAGTTACTCTCTGGCCTTCACACATATGTACCTGCATGTGTACACCTGCACTCGTGAACATGTATACATTTAAAAAAAAGAGAAAAGGTACTTTATTAGATTCTATTTTTTTCTTTTCCCTCTCTCCTTTCCTTCCTTCCTTTGAGACAGGAACTCATATATCACAGGCTGGTCTTGAACTCCTGCTCCTCCTCCAAAGTGCTGAAATTATACATACGTTCATCACATTTAGATTAACAATACCTTTCTGTTTGTTTGTTTGTTTATTTGGCTTTGGTTTTTCAAGACTGGGTGGTTTCTCAGTAGCTTTGGAGCCTATCCTGGAACTAGCTCTGTAGACCAGGCTGACCTCGAACTCAGAGATCCTCCAGCCTCTGCTTCTTGAGTGTTGGGATTAAAGTTTAAAAAAAAAAATGACATCTGTTTATTTGCTTATTTATTGTGTGTGTGGTGTGTGGTGGTGAGAGGATAGTTTGCTGGAGTCACTTGTCCCTCACCGTATGGGTTCTGGGGATCCGACTCACCTTATCAGGCTTGGTAACAAGTGCCTGAACTTGCTGAGCCATCCACCAACCTTGACAAATACCTTTGTAATGGATACATTATTCATAGGTAAAAGTATAAAAAAAAAGATGAGACTGAGGCAGGAGGATTACTGTCGCCAGAAATTTGATGACAGCCTGAGCAATATAGGGAGATTATGCTTCAATAAAAACAAGACAAGTAAATTAAAATTGATAGGAAAAATAATCTTGAATACAAGAAAATGGTTGATTTTGGCCAGAGGACACAGGAATAATAAGCAAAGGCTGCAAAGAAAGTATGCCTAAGGTCATGCTGTTTCTTAGCTTGTGTGGTAATTCCTAAATCTTCTTCTTTTTCTTAAGAACTGACTATATGTTTAACATTTTCCTATGTTTATGGGTTTCACAATACAATAGCTAAATAAAAAGTGCCATTTGCCACCCTAAGGAAACGGAGCAGCAGGGATACGGGGTTGAATTATTTTATGTTTTCGAAGACAGACTTCAGATTCCAAAGGTTCTGTAATAATTACTTACATATGTTCTGCCTGATTTATGTGTGTCACAGGGTAGCCGGTGATTCTAAGGGGATGCTCCACTCTGGCCTCTTAAGACACCCTGCAGCGTTTTTTTTTTGTTGTTGTTGTTTTGTTTTGTTTTTTTTTCCTTCCAAGACAGAGTTTCTTTAAGCAGTCTTGACTGTCCTGGAACTTACTCTATAGACCAGGCTGCCTCTGCCTCCTGAGTGCTGGGATTAAAGGTGTGTACTACCACACCTTGTACACAGCCTTAGCTCTCCTGAAACTCACTCTGTAGACCAGGCTGGCCTCGAATTTAGAGAGGCCTGCCTCTGCCTTCTGCTGGGACAAAAAGCCAGCACCACCCAGTCTTACAAACTCAGGCCTGAGAGTTCAGTGTGAGGCTCGGAGTCCAGGTGAGAGCATGCTCACTCCAGGTAACTTCAGAACATCCTTCATCTCGGTGGTCTGAGAGGGCTGGTCACAGGCTAGTCCATATTTGGTTAGGGAAGAAATGGGTATGGATTGTCCCCAGACTGTTTCCATTGATGTGCATTGTATACCGTGCAGCATCCCATGTCCTTGGAGGGCCTGGTGTGTGGTGGAGGCCTGAGGGAAGCGAGTGCTTGTTGGCACAGAGACCGTGTAAGGATCCCTCATGTTTTGTTTGTTGCTGGAGTGAGGCTGGCTTTGGACACTTGTCCCATGTCTCTGGTGCTGTGGACCATCATTCAGGGTCCCGTGCAGGGTGTTTAGTGCTGAGAGAGTTTCATGGAGCAGGCAGATGCATGCGAGAGAGAGAACCAGTATGGCAGGGGCAAGGCTGAGCAGTGTGGGCTGTGGGTTTGTCCAGACATTCAGTACATGCCCCTGATCCTAGGAGTTAGGGAGACCCAGGGGAATGTTTATGGAGGGTAGAGGAATCCAATAGAAGGGGCTGTACTGGGACTGGTAGCCTTTCCTGTAGATTAGAAATGGTTGTGAAATTTCAGGCTGAAGTTGGAAAGCCAAGAGTGTCTGGATTTCCTTTGTGGTTTGCTGTTTCTTGGTCACCTGTGATCTTCTTTTTTCTTTTTCTCTCTGTGTGTGAGGTGAGTGATGGCGGAGGAAATCTAGCCAGTGATACTGTCCATGTGGTGCACTCTCCCTTCCCTGCCCAGCCTCCCTGCCCAGCCTCGTTAGGCCATCTAATGTGAGTGCTGGCTTTGTTGGAATCGCTATGAAGCTTCCACAGATGAGAAAATGAAACTTAAAAGAAATGTGCTTTTATTTCCTTTTAGCTTCATAAAGTTGTTGTTTTCCCCTCCAGCGTTAGGGATTGAATTAAATGTTCTATGTATTCCAAGCAGGTGCTCTGCTATTGATCTATATGTACTCCCACCATCTTTTTTCATTTCATTTTATTTTTTGAGATAGAGTCTCACTAAGTTGTCTAGGTTGACCTTCAACTCACTCTTGTAGCTGGGACTAGACTCAGCCTCCCAAATAATTGGGATTGTAGACCTGTGTCATCAAGCCTGGTGGAGCTTTTCATTACTAGGTCTTTACAAGGCATCTTGGTTAAGAAGCTGGATATGTGGGCTCAGTTTGTTGTCCTTTATTATATGTATGTTTGTTGGCTTTGAAAGTAGTGAATGTGAATGTTTTCTGATACTGGGAGCTGAACCCAGAGCTTTGAGCATGTCAGGCACGCATGCTAGCATCAAACTATACTCACACGTGTGTGTGAGGGATGGAGATCTGAAGGCCTTGACTTTCCCTAGGTCCTTCCAACTCATGTTAGTTCAAATCTGCTTTTGGCTATGTTCCTCCCCAGTGACGTTCTTACTGGGACCATTTTAGGACCTCCTTGTAATGGTTTTCTG